CCTTACGTCCATGCTTGGTGGATGCTACAGCGCTGTATCCTACAGTCGTTTTCTGCCGGCTTCGGATCTCGGCTCCCGCACCTGAAATCAGCTCGCTCGGACCAACAACAACGAACTACGCATCCGAGAAGCTTTGGCCCAACATCGACAATGATTGCCTGGGCGCTGCCATCTTACTTGTGACGTCGCGCATTTGGTTGAGTCACGTGACGAGTAGTTACATTTCCGTATTATGGGGGCTGCCTGAGGAGGAGTCACTTTCGTGCGTGGGCCGGAACTCCGGTTTATCGCTCTAAGCCCCTCTACCTCTTTGGTAGAGAGCGATAGCCACATGACGTCCGGAAACTCTATCCTCCTTCATATTTCCCCTTTCTTCTCGGTACGCTAGTAGGTCATAAAACTCCATGATCATGTTTCGGTTACAGAGCAGCTGCGTTTCATGACTTTATTGAAATGATACGTAACCCCACAGCAAAATATTGATTGGGTGGTGTCCTGGCACCATATGAAATTGCCTGGCGAAATATTTGTTGCGGGTGTCACTTTTTTGTTTTTTAACGAATACTAAAAAAGTTGTCGAATTATTGTTGATGAAAGAAACAACTAGGCGAGCTAAGAAAAAAAATTTGCACTTTCGTAAGGCGCTTGCTAGCGATATACAGTCGGTTCCACTTCCGCAGTTCACTTTCTTTTTTAAAAAAGTGATGCAAGTTACTTGGGGTATGGTGTAACAAACTGTGAATGTAAGATTTGACTGAAAAAAATTTAATTTGTATTGTTTATTTTAACTATTTTATACACAAAAAACAAGAGCAAAACAATTCGGCAGAGAGTGACAGAGACACATAAGGCTACTCACGGAAGAGGAATGCCAAAGCATTCCTTCACGCAGCGCATTCCTACAAGCAGCGCGCCACGCCTTCCTTTTTCACACAGCGCTCTTGCGATGACATCAAGCTCCCATACTGCGCAGGCGCAGCGAACCCAATCGGCTTCACGACGGCTTCCGTGACGAAGCATCCGCATTGCTCTGCTTTTCTTTGTGTTTTATTGCGGACGCGCGTCGGCTTTGACCTTGAGCGCCCCCGCAGGCTCGCGTGACGAAGCATCTGCGTTGCTGTGCTTTTCTTTGTGTTTTTTTCTGAGGCGCGTGCTTGATGGCTTATCGACGTGACCATCTTTCGGGCAGAGCGCAGCCGCTTTTTCGCGTAATGGGCCGTCGGTTGTGTGCACGGCATATGGTATACCAAAAAACCCAAGGTCATTTAACAAATGTCTAAAGTAGTAACAAAGCCGCCGGCAAGCGAGCCTAGCTCAGCAGAATGCTTTGTTTAAAGGAGAACACACGCCGAGGCGTCACTCACGCGCTCGCGCCCTGTCTCAAAAGAGGATGCGGAGAGCGAATTTATTATTCTAACAAATATACGTTTTCACCAACAGCAGGAGTGAGCATGTTTGGTAAAGAGATGTTTTTAACATTTGTCTTGCTTCGTGTCAGTTCTCAGGTGTGAGAAAAAAAGAAAGAAAGAAAAGGAACACGTCGAGAGTCTTGTGATATATCACCTACAAAACACTCAACTAATCTCCTCAAGGTGCCACCAGTATTATACATATTTTCGTTTGAAACAAATCGATCACACCGTCGTTCGTTACACCAGCTGGGGGCATCTCTCATGATGTTTATAGATTATTTGGGCGGTTGCTTAATTTTCTAAATACTAGCTTTCTAAAATTTTAGGGATGGGGGTCTTTTAGTTGGGGGATGCTTTCCGACATTTTAGCGACCTCAGATGTACTTTACATTTCCTCGAAGATAAAAAAAAAATAAAGCCAAGGCAATACAATTGCACGCTTTTGGCTCTCTCGCTAGCATTGTACTCTATAGAAGCCACAACAAAGTCTTGTCGATTTCTTTTTACTTTTTGTGAGACTTGCACTGTACCTCTTTTCTTCCGACTTCTATTAATAACTACACTTTTTCAAAAACTACTGGGTTAAGCTAATCTAGATATCGTGCGCTAAAACGTCCAATGGAACACGGAAAAACAGATTTGCAGGCGGCAATTGTTGCACGATGGAAATAACAAAACTTGAGAACGGGGGAAAAAATCTCGAAACAGAATATTGCGTTTTGTTGGCCTCCACCCCTTATTGTTAAAACCTTAATGTGAAACTGAACTCAGACCTAATAATCTAATAGTTGTGTGCATGAAAATTGTGTTCTTCTATTTTGCATAATGCTCTTTAAAGTTGAAAGAATGCTGCTGTTTATTACTTGAATATACACCACTTTATTATTTACAGTTTATTTTTTGTATGCATTTTGCTTTTATATATTACAATAAATGTCCTGCTAACAAGTTTGAGATGAGACCTTGACCACGTCAAGCTACCTCTGGCAGCTCTTTGACTGGATATCTGTTGGCGTCAAGGCCGTAAATCAAATTATGGATTGATTGTTTGAGCGAAAATATATTAGACGAAATTAATAATAATAATCAAAATGATTCATGAACTATTTCGTGTCTAGTATTATTTTGGCATTAAGAATTTGTACCTTTGTCTTCAGTGCCACAGAAAGCCACCCCCGAGAATGGCCCTTTCCAGCGCGTATCACTCAGGCAGAGAATATCCGCCAAGGCACTGGGCTGTGAACGCTTGAGCGGCGTCTGGTACTCCGTAGAAGAAAGCTACTGTGCATACTCAGAACACGTTCCACAGCTGATTGGAGCAAGACGGCAGCGGGCGAAGCGCCGTCTAGCTCACGTCTGTGTCGTCGCTAGCGCGTCTTACAGCGCATCGTGCGTCGTCTGCTCCACGTCATGGAGACATCGGCAACGTCTGCTGATCGAACGGGACAACATAATCGCGAGGTGGCAAAGCTTATTTGCTTTACTCTGCACGATGCGAAGAAGAGGGTCGCATGATATTCTACCTTTTGACATTGGAGATGACAGCAAGACAACCGTAGCTTTGTCCCACGGTGACCTCATGTTTGGAACGAGGCAATTATTGCTCAAGCTCAGTCGACTTACCATTCATCGCTCGCCACAACAACACTTGGCAAGGGCCAAAATTTGGGGGTTTTACGTGCCAAACCTACGACGGGCATCTGGCACGCCCCAGCGGAGGACTGAGGATTAATTTCGACCACCTGGGGATCTTTTGACGTGCAACCGAAAGCTCGGTTACACGGCGCCTTCTCCGTAATAAGCCTCTGTCATATATTGCGGGCACCTCGGCCGGGATTCGAACCCGCCACATGGGGATCCGTAGGCCGACGCTCTCGCCTTGGAGCCACCGAGGCGGCTACTTGGCAAGGGCGTCGCTTTTCTCAGATCAATGAATACTGCCATAAATGTGTCAGTTTGGTGCACAACCATTATTTATTAAGGCCGGAAGAGAAGCAGGTGCAGTCTATTGAGGCAGCAGGGTCGGGGTGTCGCTCGAGCATTCCACACAACCTAACGCATCGACAGTGACGACCGCAGCATTCTCACGTAGCCGCACATGAACTACTCCGAAGAACCACTGATTGCGCCACAATTTTTTGTCGTAACTTCAGTCAGGGACCAACAGTAAAGGACTGAAGAATATCGATCGGCGCTCATGAAGCGTATCTACGATGTCTAGGCAGTTGCTAAGCCTGTTCGCTCTATCAAGCAGACCCATGAACACTTCGATGACGACACCACCATAGAGCTATCACGTCACACAAAAACTATCGCGGACAAAGATGAATACCGGAAGAACCTTGCAACGCAAACGCGGGTACGTAAAGGGCAGAAAAATCAATGCGAAAATTTAATGTCTCTCGTCGTCATCTCACCATAAATACGCGTTCCCATTTTTTACATTTTTAATACCAAGGCAGTTGTAACAAAAAAAATTCCAATTGTGTGTTGCTTCGCGATGATGTTGCACAGAAACACTTGATATGAATTTTATACATCGACAGCACAAACATGCTTGTGCATGCACAGCGCCTATTAAAAAGGGATTTTCGTAGATTAAATTTTTCACTATCCGCCTATGTTATACCTTTTTTGTATGCCGAGGTCTTTTGCTGGATAAAATATTTATGAATTTTTTTTATTCTATTCATTAAAAATTTACATAAATGGGCTCGAGGTACACCTAAGCACTTCTAATGAGTTGTGAATGCGGAAGCACGCACGCCGCTCTTCGCTCCCTTCTTTATTCTGCGGCGTACAACGCGCTGACCTTGAGTGTGTCGTGTGCCTTGCGGCGCGAGGAAGGAACAGAGAGCAACGTAGTTTCCAGCAGAACTAACGCCACGGGCCTTATAACCGATCATAGGCGAGCGAACGCGGTGATCAGTGATAAGACAACAATGTGATAACACAGTCAGGATGACACCACACAAACTGACGCTTAGCGGCCAATGGGAGCCTCGTCGACGCCCACCAGCCAATGGGACCGATGTGTAAAAGGTGCCGTTGGCTAGCTTTGCGCGTGGTTTCATTAAGGTACCGTTTTGCACGGTTTCAAAGCTGATGACGTGGGCTCGCTCCATAAAATAGTTAATTCATTCGCATTAAAATATCAAGCAACTTAAAGCTCTCGACCAGCCACCTCTATTCGATCTTACCTGAAATCACTAAGCTGTTACTTGCGTTTTGAACTCAGTCGTTAATAACATGACGTTTACTTTCGTAAAAATCTAGTATATTACAAGTCACAAGCAGTTAAAAGGTTTTCACTAGTATGTAAACCAAGAAAAACAATAAGCGCAATGATTTCGTAATGCAAGCTTTTAGGAAATTTTCCTGATTTTGTATTTCTGTCTCCGATATAACTGCAATCGCCTAGGAAGTACATGGTTTTGCCATTATTTTTTTTTGTAATAGGTACTGCTAATTCCTGCTACAGCTTTCAGCAGAGAGAATACAAAATGTGTGCGTACATGAAGAGTGTTGCACATGTATCTTTTTTATTTATTGGATTATTAGAGCAGCAGAAATATCAACTGTAGTGGATTACTGCTGCGGGATTGGTGTCTTCGCAGGCGGCCAACAATCGCTCAACTTCCTAAAAACTTTTGCTGGTTCCTTACAATACACCATGTAGATGAAAAAGCAATAGCTATTGACGATTCCATTATTAAAGCGACCACCTGTAAATAATTCACACACTGAAAAACGAAAAAAATAACAGTATTAGACAAAGCTCCGTTTAATTTAAGACTCATAGAAATCAATTCATTATTAGTACTCAATTCTCTATTCGTTTGTCAATATTAAACAAGAAAAAAGCGTTACACACAATTATGATATTGCGTTTGTTCTGCGTTTGTATAATAAACTTGCTATATTTCTGCATTGGCAAAAAATATAGAAAAACCCGCATGCTTTTTAATTTACTTGCGCCCTTGACCTGAACCAAACTGGGAGCTAGATGTGTTGATTTATAAATAGTTCATATATCATTTTATAGATATCTTCACGCGGAGTGGACATGATTATGTCTAGAACTTAGTAGCAACAAATCAGCAGTCATAATTGTGATGATGATAAAAATTAACAACATAAAATGCAAGGATTCGTGGTTTAGAGAGTAAATAAATATATAAGTACCTAGAGCTATATAAATTTATGAAAGTTCAGATTATCTTACTGAGTAAGAAAACCATTGAACTGTTAAAAGCAACAAAACGCAGCTTTAATAAGTAATATAACTTTCCGGAATTATTTCATGTATGAAGGGAGAAACATTTGAAAGAAAATAATGGTGCTGAGCTAGACTTTTGGAAATGCAGTCATGTTTATCAAACCTGATATGCAATCAAGGTTAAAAGTAAACGTCGTGTTGGTATGCTGGTATTGGAAGTGCGTAATAAAACACCGAATCAAGAGGAAAAAGGTGATATGGGATGGTCACCATTCGAGAGCAACAATAGTAAGAAAGAATGAAAAAAAAAGTGAAAGCCGTTTACAGCTCCCTGTAACGCCGAATTGGAGCGCAGCTCTTGAGGAGCAGGATTGAAGGGTACTGGGGGGAGGGTAGACCTCTCCTCCTCTTCCTCCTCCTCCTCCTCCTCTCATTCTTGAATATGCTCCGGGGGGTCACCTGACCTCGGGGGGAGGGGGTCACGTGACCTCGGGGGGGGGGGAGGGGGGAGTCATGTGACCCCTGGGAGTCACGTGACCTTGGGGGGTCATGTGACCTCTGGGAGTCAGGTGACCTTGGGGTCACATGACCTCTGGGGGTCCCATGACCTTGGGGGTCACGTGATCTTAGGGGTCACGTGACCTTAGGGTGATCTTAATGGGTCACGTGACCTCTGGGGAGTCACGTGACCTCGCGGTTACGCCGAAGGCGACGGCGACGCCGACGCCGCTCAAGCCGGAAACGGGCACCTAAGAGCTGCGCTCTAAAAAAAAGTGAAAGCCGTTTACAACTCCCTTTAACGCCGAATTAGAGCGCAGCTCTTGAGGAGGACGAGGGTAGGGTATTGGGGGAGTGGGTCAAGAGACCTCGGGGCTGGGGGGTCACGTGACGTCGGGGGGTCACGTGACCTGGGAGTCACGTGACGATGCCGATGCCGATGACGTCATCAGTGACGTCACTGATGACGTTATCAGTGACGATGACGATGCGGATACTGATGACGTCATCAGTGACGTCACTGATGATATCATCAGTGATGACGACGATGACGATGCCGGTGACGTCATCAGTGACGTCATGATGACGTTAACAGTGATGATGACGATGACGATGCGGATGCCGGTGATGTCATCAGTAACGTCACTGATGACGTCATTAGTGATGATGGCGATGGCGATGCGGATGCCGGTGACGTCATCAATGACGTCACTGATGACGTCATGAGTGGTCACGTGACCTCAGGGGAGTCACGTGAACTCGAGGGGTCACGTGACCTCGGATGAAGGGGGAGGGTCACGTGACCCCGAGGGGGGCTCACGCGGTGCATTATGGGAGATTTCCCATAATGCACCGCGCGGTTACGCCGACGGCAACGGCGACGCCGCTCAAGCCGGAAACGGACCCCTAAGAGCTGCGCTCTAAAAAATGAAAAAAGTAAACGAAGAACGATTGTCATGCAATTTTTTTAGCTCTTTATAGATACAGGGCTATAATACTAAGGTCAAGAGGCCAACTAGGCAACTCAGGTGGTACGTTTTAAGCGATAAAATGGACGAAGATTCGTTATACTCAGTAAAGAAAATAGCTAAAGAGCAGAGAGGAGAATTTGAAAAGCGAGGATGCAGACTAAATCAACTCTGAAGATGTATAGAAAGTGTAAGGGGGATGGAGACGACCAGGGCAAGTATCTAGACAATTCTTTGCAGTAAATTATAATTTACTGCAAAGGATTTCATCAGGATGTTGTCTAAGGCAAGGCAAATCTAGTATGGCTTTTGGACTAGACAGTGACGAAAATATAGACGTTGAGAAAGTGGAGATCACTAAGCAGAGATTATCGGTCTGATGGCATAACTCGAGGAGAGAATAAAGTGCTGAAATAAGGGTAATGGCGCATGCGAGCTGGTGAAGGATCATACTTATACTAAAACACCCAAACAAGGAATAAAAAGAAAAGAGAGAAAAAAAGGGACATTACAAGTTCCGCTCGCCACTCGTAAAACCTACACGCAAAACAGTGGGGGACGCCCACCTAAGGAGGATAGCTCATACAACCCACACTAAGAAGCCAAACATATACAGATAAGAAGGACAGCGTAATCCCGCCCAAGGTAATCACGGGCATGTTGATACAATTGCCGGCGCTTGTGATGCGAAGCGTTTTTTCTAACTCTCTTGAATGGATCCTTTTGTTAACTTAGCATTCTTTGGTGCGCATCCTGGATAACAATTCTTATACTCTTGAGATGTTTCACAAGCTCGGAGTTTGCCAAAAAAGCTCTGACAACCCTTTTGTGCTCAAGTAGCCTGTCGTTCAAACAGCGTTCAATTTCAGCGACAAATGAGAAGTCACATGCCATGGGAATTTCTTACACGACCGATTTCTCACAAGCCGTTGCCTGATCGCAGAGCTTCTTTTGACAACCAATCTGACTTCGTGAAAAAAGGTATCAACCTACTTAATATGATGTAATTCTTAAAGAAAACTCTTTTTTCATGATTTCCTGCCACAGCTTTCAAACTGTGCGCAAAGCTTAAAAAAGGCAAACGTTCCCTCATCTTAGGTTTTTTTGCTCTAACACTCTCTTGCCTAGGTTAACCTAAAGTCCTAAACATTTCGCATCACACTAATCACAACTTTCAAACACTGCCCCGAATTGGCCAACCTGCTCATCCGAATACCGAAAGGCTCTTAGGGGTGGTGGCAGCAAACTTTGTCCAACGCATTTCGCAAAACTGAACAAACTGCCCCCCGCTTTACCGCTTCGGGATGTCAACTATGGTACTGATGGGTTATCCTTTTAATTACGCGTTTACACTTGCGGATTGGCGGACAGATCCGCTCAGAGGGAAAGTGAATTTCGGCGCCCGGTGACGGAATCGAGTCGTCGCTGGCGCAATATCTGGATATAGATCCCGGACTGATCCAAATTTTCCGCCAGCGAGGATCCAAATTTTCCGCCACCCGGTTCCAAAAATCACTCTTCGCCTGTGCGGATCTACCTGAAAATCCGGAAGTGTAAATGCACCGTTAGGAGGGTGTCCCCATTCCTTTGCTTGTGCGGTTGACGGGTGTCGTTCTGAAGTTGGGATGTGCTCCGCCCTGTGTATATAGAGCTGTTCCGTATATAAATCGTGCAGCTGAGGTTTGAGACATCGTTTTGTTGCTTTCTTTTTTCTTTCTCTTTTTTTCGATCTCTTCTCTCGGGGTTTATAAGTAAAGGTATGAGAGACAATAAAGTTTAGTTATTCGTCTGCTTTCCATAGGAAAGACGGAAGGGGCGTGCACCAGGTCGCAAAAGGGTTCTACCGACAGACGAATTGTAACGTTTAGGCAGATACCAATAAAAGGGTTAACCTTAGTGCTTTGTAAATTTAAAATCAATTACCTGTTGAAAATAAAAGTTTTGGCTGCAGGCTAGTTATCGATTAAAAAGGTTCAGCCGCATTCATCTATCCATCGATGTTTCTTTGGGGGCTCTAGTTCAGTGCTACTTGGGACGTTGCACAACCGACGCTTCGAGCGGAACTAGGTTGTTTTAATCAATAATGATAATTATGTGCAGGCTATATGCATGATACCTGCATACAGTTTGGCGCGGACTATCAATTCCAGTTAGAATAATAAGGTAAATTATGGGTGGAGCAGGATGGTGCATGCAAGAAGCATTGTTTATGGTGGTAGGTGGAGTTTTTTCGGCGAGAAAGTCCATAAGGAATAGAGTAGAATACGTTCTTGCGTTCATCCTATGGGCTTCCAGCGAAACACGGAAGTGTAACGAGGAAACGCACGTTGAAGCGTTCACCCTAAACAACCGTGGGTTTTAATCCTTGATCCCATTGTAACAGATCTTCGAAAATCCGCGCCCGGCTCCCATACGGCAGGACTCTCAAGCAGCCGCAGAGAGTCGCAAGCAGCCGGAACCAAGCTGTATTGCTCTCTTTCAATAAGCTAAGCATTTCTATATGTTGAAACGGTGGAAGGTTCCAAAGGTAAACAAAGGCTCATCACAGAAACACATGTCTGAGAGGAGCTTCTTTTCAGCGAGACCAGGTTTATTAGTGATGAAGACCTTTAGATGTTAGTTTTGTAGGAGGTTTAAAAGGGGGCTGACAAGGTGCTGGAACAAGAGAGGGGGCTGCAGCTGAAATAGAGGCCATTTAGGAAGAACTGAGGACAGCGATTGAGAAAACTTGAGCCTGAGGGTAAGGTGAAAAAAGGGGTGACTTTAAGGCAAGGGCGAAATAATTCCAAGGGAAATGAACCTCAGCAGCACATAAAGGGGTATCCTCACAAAATCTGCATCAGTTCGTTTTTTTTTTTTGTCCATCAAAATCAATGAATATCATTAATAGCGCATTTTCTAATGTCGGTCCAAAACGACAGTCTGTCGCATACTACAAACTGCAACGAACGAATTGTACGTAAACTGGCCTTTGAATCGCCAGTGGAACGCTGTGTAAATGCAACACGCTTCCTGTCATGGCTGGTCCCGGAGCTCTCATTTTGCGAATGCGACCCTT